TGGACTTTTTTTAATTTTTTGAGAGAGATTTTTTTTATTTGTTTATAGAAAAAAAGAAAGTCGAACATGAACCTTAATATTGCAAATCTATTAACTTCCACGACTAATAGACCCTTTGAACACAAAAAGAGTGTCACCATTTTCAACACCATGCCACCTAAGACTACAATTCTCTCGCATAATCCTTTGCTTGTGTACGAATATATACTCGTCTCTTGGCAACGTTTTGTTAGCTTGTAACCCTTCTCTCATCTCCGAGATGGTACACGAGTCCTTAATCTCCACAGGGATTCTTGCACCGTTGAATAAACTCGATGACGTCTGCACCAAGAAACATAGTTTCCTCACCGGAGCAACGTCTTTAGCTCTGTTGATTGCCTTGAGAAACACGACAATCTCTGAGAATTCCCCGATTCCATACTCGTTTAGGTTTCGAAAATCGTCAGCTAGCTCGATTCCAGAGAAGTATAACTGCATTCTCTTTATGGGTGTGTTCTCCACAATGTGAATCTTGTCCTTCAAGCTACTTACCTACAAAAAAAACATGAACTTGTTAATCAAGAAACTGTGATAAATATGAGATAAGACGTTAAAGTTACCGTTTCGGTTCTGTCTACTTCGATGGAGAACTGTTTTGACGGGAACTTAACGGTGACGTGGATTTTTTTAACGGCGGGGTTAGTAAAAGAAGGTGCGGTGAAAAGGGGAGTAACTGTGAGGTCGATTCTGGTGCCGTGTGAGATGATTGGGTAATCATCGATGTCAAGACCATCGAGGAGTTCCCAGCAAGAGACGAAGAGGGTTAAAGATGATGTTGGGATCTGAAGAAACTGTCCTAAACGTTTCTTGATGTCCAACACAGGTTCTTGTTCGTTGATTTCCATGGTAAATTCTTGGGTGTATGAGACTATTGTTACTATCATATTTACAAATAGAAAAAAAGGCTTTATGTTTTGGTATGTTTATGGGAAACAAAAGTACTGTAAATTCACAATATGCTTAAGATGTGTATATATAGCGAAGAGTGCAAGTTGCTGAAATGCATGTAAAAAAGACTATAGGGAAATAAGAAATTCATGATAGTGTAACTTGATGTGTAGTTGGGTCTTGTGTGTGTCATTGTGTGTGTGTGTGTCTGTTATAACACTATGTGTCTACGTGATATTCCTATTGAATTTGGCATGATATTCGGTTAGGTAGTCAGTGGAATAACGGAAGAATGGAAAAGAAAAAAAAAACAATAATATATATGAAAAATGATTGTCATCTATTAGACAAAAGCCATCATATGACAACACATAACATGGCTTCTGTATCGTAAATTAATCTAGTTAGCAAACATATATATCAACATGTGTTAATTAAAGTTTTATATCAATGAGCATTATGATGTTAATCACATAAAATTGTATACCATATAGTTCTTTTTTGGCATCATACCATATAGTTCATGTGATGTGGGATACATAATCTAATATATATGGATGTGTAGTTATATGAAGGTTTATAGCTCATGTACCTAGCAAATTATCATATATATATAAACTTAAGGTTAATTTGAGACATGCTGAGACTAAACACATTTTAATGTAAATAAATCTGAGATGTTTTCTGTATAAATAGTAGTTGAGTGAAGACTTGGGAGGGGGAAGATTTCTTGCTTTTGTATAAACTGTTATAAAATTATTCAACCAATAAACCAAAGATAAGTAAAAATCATGACAACAAAGAATATAACAGTTGCTGAAGATAAATGTAAATCATTTGTTATTAAGCCTAACTTTTATTGTCCTCACGAGAGAACTCTCCCAGCCTTGAGATTTTTCAACTTCTGCTTGCAAGATATATGCGGGAAACTATGGCTGATCCGGCGACTAAAATGGCCAGAAATTTCAGAACGTTCCTTACAGTAAAAACTGAATTATTCGTTGGTATCACCAACAGATCCTTCATCTGCAATACCAGTAGCACAATAATGATTAGCTCAGCTCTATTATCATGTATAATAATGATTTTGAAAAGATTGTGACTCTACATTTATAGGCTGGTCCCAATTCTTTTTGATCCCTTGAAGATGCCCTCTACCAACAACTGCCACCACCGAGCTATGCTCACTTGCAACTCTTGACAACATACATGACATGTACCTGAGTTACATAATGCAACATTTCGCAAAAAAGATAAAGACAAGTTTTATAGAAAGTGATCAACTAACTTTGATGAACTTTATATATATATATAGAGAGAGGGAGACAATACTAACTTATCCCTCTCATGCACAAGAGTATCCATGAGAGATGGAAATTCCTTGCTCATTTCTTGAATCACCAATGTCAACATATCCACATCGTTCATAGCTTTCAGCTAAAAAAAGTCATACAAAATAATTTAACACTTGACTGAATCACATAAATAAAAAGGAAGCAAAAGACTTGTTTACCATCTTGTCAAGTTCTTCAGGGTTCGGTAGAAAGACAGCTTGAAACACTAAGCCGTACAAAAACTTTACTTTGTGCCATATAGGCATTTTACCCCATGTTCTCTTTAACGTGATCTAACTTCCAACAAATACCACTTGCATAAGATTCCATAAGACAGAAAGGTTTAAGACTATGAACACAACACATGCTCTTGAACAACCAAAATTCACCTGCACAGGACGATCACCTAGAATCACCTGACCACCATATTTGACTGCTTCTTCATATGCCACACGAAACTCAGCACCAGGTAAAACATCAAGCTTGCTTGCGATCTAAACATAAGGAGAACAAAAAAAAGACTAAATTAATTGTATGGAAAATCTTAAGCTACCATCAAAGAAGATCAAAAACAGAGGAAGCATACCTTTGCAAGAAACCATCCGTAGCCTATTCCGAATGGGTTGTGTTTCTTCTTCCACATGTCTATCATTTCCCACACGGTCGGAACCTAGATAACCAAAAAAACATCGCAACTTTCAAGAGTAAAAGAACATGGAAACTTGATAGAAAAAGATGTTACAAGAATTGTGTAGAGCAAAACCTTCACAGCTTGGGGTGTGAGAATAGACAACCGGCTTGCACACAACTCCACGAACACGACCTGAAATACATCAGACACGTATTTAGATAGAGAGAGAAAGACATAAACAAAAGAGTTAACTGTAATGAAGAAGAACCTCTGGTTTCATGTAACTGACAACAGCTTCAACTTCTCGACATGATTCCTACAAAACCAAAAACAAAAGAAAAACGAAAAGATTGATATAATATAACTATTGAATCTTGATGCAATGGGAGTCATATAGTTTCGATATTTTATATAAAAAAAGAAGAAGACAACCTCTGAAACATGAGCAGTACCAATCAAATACACATCACAAGATCCACCTTCTGCTTTTGAATCGCACGTTAGAACCATAACGCTTTTCGCGTATTCCTCAGGCAGCTCCATTTTCGTCCTCTCCACGACATCATCCGCTCCAATGCAGATATCTTCATCACCAGAAACAAAGATCAAATCAACGCCGGTTATCGCTGAACCGGAATCGCTATTATGTTCTTCCTCCTCCTCCTCCTCTGTCTCCACATTCACTCTGTTATCGCTTAAATAGATATCTCCGAGTTGAGACTCCGGCTCCGGTGGTATTACAGTCGGTTCCATTGACGATCAGAGAGAGAGGGGACACGTTTCGAGCTAAGACAAAAGCTATAACAGAGTTCTGTGCGTTACTTTCTTTTAGTAAATTTAATTTTAAATCTTTGTCCAAAAGAAATTTAATTTAATTGCTAAAAGGGAACAAAGGAGAAACATAGTTAACTTCTTTGCCCTATAGTTAAGGTAAAAATTCTAATTCCAAGGTTTCTTTCTTTTAACAATTTAAATCTCATAGATTATGTTACTGGTTTATGAACTTTCTTTTAGTGAATAGAGAATTTATCATTTTATTTAGTTGACTATTATAATTATTTTTCACATATTTTATTGCTTATTAAAGATAGAATTCTTTCAGGAAAAAGCAATAAAAAATTAGTGAAACAAATAGACACAATGTATACATGAATTTGGTATGCAAAATCATGAACTTCCCTTAATTGAATATGTCAGTCAAAATGAAATTTCTGGAGAAGATTTATTTTAGGGACTCTTCTTATCTATCTTAGTCATACTGTTTTCGAATACTAACCTAATTAAAAAAAAAAGCAATAACATCCCTTCTGCTGTTAGTCAAAGAAAATTATGTTAAATTTATTTAATCTGATAGGTCAATACACATCTTGCGAGTAACGTCGAAATGGATGAGAAAGGATATGGTTGAATTAAATCTAGAGTTAATCATAGATAGGCTTATAAGCTCATTTCTCTCTCAAGTGTGAGATTCCCTTTCTATTAATTTGAGGCTAAGTGATCATGCAAAATAATCACAACAAAATTTGTTTACAGCCTTCAACTGCAAAACTGATTTAAACTGGATAGCAAATGTGATATAATAAAAAATAATTAGTATAAAAAATTAATGATAAAAAAAATAAAATGAGGAAATTATATTTAGTCAATGAACCAATAAAAAGGCGAGCATTGCTACAAGAGAAGAAAAAAAAACAGATACATTATCTTGGGCTTGAGTTTTGTTTTTAATTTCAGACTTAATAAGCATCCGGAAACATGCACTATTATAATGACTATATGATGCAACAACATATACAACAGTAGCTAGTACTCACTCGAGCAATAGGCAGGCGCTTGTTTGCCCAAAAAAAAAAAAAGCAATGGCAATAGCAGCAGAAGTGTTTCAATCCGTAATATAGCTGAATGTAAATTTCTAGGTGTTACAGAGTCTTACCAAGTCTGAAACCACCATGCAAGACACATTGGCTAAAAAAGCATATTAAAAGACAAATAGTTTGTTCTCAGATCGAAACGACTTAACATACTTATAGTTAGAGAGAGAGAGAGTTGAATCGAAACAAAGATATAGAATCCTCGTAAGGTGTGGCTGGATCATAGTCAGACTGGGGTCACCGTCTCTGTCTTTTCTTCGGTTGTTGTTGAGCAGCACGAGTATCAACTGAAGAACCAACAGCCGTGAAGTGGATAGACTCTGGTGAAACTGTGAATAAAGCCTACGTACATGCCCGGAAACAACATGATCAGTGGGTACATTACGATCATGAGTGGTAAGATTATATCAGAAGATAACTATATATTACCTGAGATGGAGAATGCCCAGTTTGAAGAGTTGGATTGATACTTTGACTTGTTTCAGCAATGTAGCACTGATCTTCTTGTTGAGTTGGATCAACATAAATAATACGCTTGTTGGATCCCTGATCTTGTGTGTAAACAACTGAATCTTGACGATACTCTGGTCCCATAAGTTGATCAACTCCAGCTGCAGCAGATGGTAGTGGTCGTTTCTACAAAAAAAATGATCATTTACAAATTTGTTTTGAGGTTAAAAACAACAAACAAAAAATAAAGCAGAAGAAAGAAGGAAGAGTACTCGGAACTGAGATGATAACGGTTCGCGAAGAGCGTTGATGTTCCATGGCTCAGTTGTTTCTTCTGCAACTACTTCATCTTCTGATAATAATGATAGACCCTAGCCAATGATGGTGAATCGTTAAAAAAAAACAAACTTGAGTGTTATTATAGAGATGATTCTGGAATGTTAGTTAGATTATTTATTACCTCTAGTTGTGCGAACAAGTTCCAGAAAATTTCTTCCGAATAATCATCTTTTATGTTTACTTCCATCCCAAGAATCTGTTAAATCTATCTTCTCAGTTTCGTAAACGATAATGCAAGAACTATCAAAAGACATAAACGTAGCAAGTTCTTGAAACAGAGTAAAGACTCTGTTTTACAGTAACAGCGAGGAAGAGTTGAGTCTATTCATTCTAGGGTTTACAGACTACATGAAAGATTCTATCTAGTTATTAATGTTATGAGAAAATATTTAACAAAAGAATCTGAAGAAAGTTACCGAAGAGGGAGAGCGAGATTGAATAACGAGTCTTGATCCTAAACCTTCACGAGAAACCTGCTCTGTTTCTTCTCTTCTGCATAAAGTTACCCCAGCGAGAGAGAGAGAGAGACTAAGCTCTAAGCTCTTTATCTTAAATATACACGACGTTTTCTGAAACGATAAACACACTCAGTTTCTTCTCTTTTTGCAACTGTGAAAGATGATGTGGGTTCAAGTGAAGGGTTTATATAGGTTTCTTGAGGAATAAGATAGCTTTTGTTGACCGTTAACTAACCGAAATAACCACCTTGTAACACTATCGTTAAATCATTTTTTTCTTCACCACTGTGGTAATTACTTTCAATCGAGCCATTTGTATGTTGTATATTGACAAAACCATAGTTTCCGAAAATACATGTATTTCAATATTTAAAAGACAAACAAAAAAAAACCAATGAAGTCGATTATAACTGCTCCAGTGCTCCTATATACATCTTCTCTATTAAAAGAGAAGTACCAAATTTATCTACTATTTAGAAGTCATGTTGGACTATATCATTAATTATTTTATTTGACATTTTTGATTGTTACATTAACAAGTCAAATATATATTATTTTCAAAATATCTTAATAATTAATTAGGATATTAATAATAAACAAATTTGAATATAACAAAATCTGTTGAAAATATCTAACAAAATCTTACCAAAAAAGTTTAATATTTTTTATAGAATAAGTATTTCTTTATTTCATTATTATATATAATTATAATTAAAACTAAAATATAAATTATGTATGTAAAAAATTTAGTTATAAATTTATTAAATAAAAAATATACCCGCACGGATGTGCGGGTGAAACTCTAGTTGTTGTTATGATTAAAATAATAACAAGTTAACATCATCTCACAATTTTCTTCACTTTGTGCTAAGGTTTTTTTGGAACAAGTTTTGAAACACACAGGCACATACAAACTACTTTTTTTTACTTGTACTATTACTTGTACACACAAAGTTGTGTACTACTTTTTATGATTAATATATAAACATTGCTTGTTTTTGTAAACTTGAAAAGAATTAAAGGAGCTTTGCTTTAGGTGCAGCTAAACTTGTTTCTCTGGACAAGTGTTAGCACCAAGAGGCAAGAACGTTATATGGTTATTAATGGATTAGGTAAAACAATAACATTCTTGCTCTATTATTAGTTCTTTACTTGTTCCAACATAAATACTAACTCTCAACATTATCTACTAATTAACACTTCTCGCAATTATTTCTTCTTCTTAAACTATAGTATATATATACACGCATTTGACACCAAATATGAAACACCAAACATCATCATCTCTTTGATCCCTCTTTCAATTATCTTGTTAATATCCCCACCAAATAAAAATGGCATCCAGACAAATGCTGATCCTAATCTCGGTCCTCGCCACTACGCTCATCGGTTTAGCAGTAGCTACAGACCATACCATTGGTGGTCCTAGTGGTTGGACTGTTGGAACTAATCTTGTGACGTGGGCTGCAGGACAAACATTTTCTGTCGGAGACAATCTTGGTAATTTAATCACATATAATATATCTCTATATTAAACTTTGTTTCAAGATTCAACAGCAAAAAAAAAACTATAAAACTAAACTTTTTTTTTTGTGCTCCGAGCAGTTTTTGCTTACCCTTCTGCATTCCACGACGTCGTTGAAGTAACAAAACCTGAATTCGATAGCTGTCAAGCGGTTAAACCGCTTATAACGTTCGCTAATGGAAACTCCATTGTTCCTCTCACTACTCCTGGAAAAAGGTAACATGTGTTAACTTAAGACATGACATAAATACTTAGCAATATTTCTAATTATTGATCAATTTGGTTTAGGTACTTCATTTGTGGAATGCCTGGACATTGTGCCCAAGGGATGAAACTCGAAGTAAACGTTCTTCCAAACGCAAACGCAGCACCAACCGCACCGCTTCAAAGCTCTGTCCCATCTCTTAACGCACCTTCACCTTCTTCTGTCCTACCGGTACAACCTCTGTTGCCTCTTAATCCCATAGCTCCTTCTTCTTCTTCAACTCCGCTTCCTTCCTCCTCCCTGCCTCTTTTTCCGGCACAGTCACCGGCGCTTTCTCCAGTGGCTGCAGCAGGGACTTCTCTGCCGTTGTTCCCAGGCTCACCTGCAGGTAGCTCAAGCAGCACCACCACCAAAACCGTTGGGAGCTTCCCTTCTAGTGCTACTGGCACAACGACTGATCTTTCCGGCGCAGGAGCCCCTCCGGTTGACTCCTCCTCCTCGGCTAAGAGCTTTGTTTTTGGATTCGGATTCGTGGTAACTATGATGCTTCATTTGTTCTAAGTGTTTTAAGTAGTGAGAGTTTTGTTTGCTGAGGCTAATGTGTTTGCGTTTTACTTTGTGTTGGTTTATATGAGAACGTGTTGTTTGTGTTCTCTTCTGTGTTTCAGTGTCTACCATTGTATATCCGTTTATTTCTCGTATATTATATTATCACAATTTTTATTTATACAGCGATGAACACATATTACTCAACAGTCTTAATTTTTTTTGGTGATCTAAAGTCAATTTGTGAGGGAAGCCCCTCAGATCAATAATCATATTTTTAATTAAGTGGTTTGATTAAGAATTTATTAATATTTTACATCTGTCATCCATAGACCTGAATTTCGAATCCAAAAATAAAAATAAATTATACATGATACTGAAATTTTTATCATGTTGCAATGAGTATCTTCAAACCTTGACGGTAAAATCGTGTATGTAATATATTTGATAATTTGTAATAAACATAATTAGATTTTTGACCCGCACTTAAATAGCACGGGTATTATTTTTGTTGTTTTATCTACAGACGGATCGATAAGTATTTTGTATTGATGATATAAAATGTTACAGAATCAATATCAAGTTATTATGCAGGTATAAAATAATTTTTATTTTATAATGTCTCAGACAACTTTTTATGTTTGTAAATAAGTTAATAATGGTTGTACATGAAATGTGTACTTGAGAGAGATTGTATATTTTATAATGTTTCAGAAAACTTTTCTTTTTTACTCAAAAATTTGACCCGTCTGACCCGCAAAGAAAATATATTTTTGCAAGAATTTTTTTATAAATTTAAAAGAGAATAATTCCATTAATGAAACTAATTTGTATATAGTTTTTAGACCCAAATAAAATAGACTAAAATACCATTAATGAAAAAATAAATTTGTTCATAAGATCAAAGATAATGTAGGAAAACATAAATCATTCATTAGAAGAGAGGATCATGTTTTAATAGTATTGATGAATGTTTTAAAAAGTTAACTGGTTGATAAAAGAGTTAATTTGTAATAGATGCTATAAATTTTAAAATAGTTTACATTAATGAATGTTGGTAAGAAACCAAAAACGGAAAATATCAGATTATAGCAAAACTATTTTTTATAGGAACTTCTAGTTTTGGGCTGCATGGGGCTCCATATGCACAGAGCATCAACAGGGTTTTAGAGGGGTGTTTAGGAGGAGGAGACCACAAAAAGGGGAAAAACCAAGAAGCATCGCTGCCAAAATTGCTTGAATAAGTAAGAGATTGTTCTGTTTCGCGGGTTCCATGTCACGTGGCGGCTCGCATTGGTGAATTTTTTTATTTATTTTTTTAAACGAAAAAAGTAAAAAAAAAAAAAAAAAATAAGCACTCCATAAGCACTCCTAGCGTTAATCATGTTCACAGCCCATTATATCACAATCGGATTCTACTAAATATATCATTACCGTGCAAGAGACGCCGCAGTGCTTGTCTAGGGTTTAGAGATCTCAGTGTCTCCGCCATGAATGTCTCGGTAGATCGTCCAAGAATTTCTCGACGCGTTTCGCGTGCGCAGAACTCAAAGAATGAAATACTGGACTCAGTCCCGATCCCAGATGATGTCATTATCGAGATATTCTCGAGGTTGTCCGTGAAGGCTATAGCTATATGTCGTTGCGTATCAAAGCTCTGGGCCTCTATACTTAGGCGTCAAGATTTCACAGACTTGTTCTTGATCAAATCCTCTGCTCGCCCTAAGCTTCTATTCGCCTGCAAAGATTCCAATGGGATTCGATTCTTCTCGTCACCTCAGCCTCAGAATAAGTACTCATCACCTATAGTCTTGAGTTATGATACGAGTTTCCCCTTCAATGGCATTCCCTCTCAATTGTGTCGTCCCGTAAATGGGTTGATCTGTCTTAAAGATGTGCAGACACGCTCAAATGGAAGGGTGGAAACAGTCAATGTAATATGCAGTAGTGGCCCTGAGGGGAAGCGAAGGAAGCATCGGCTTCCGACCTTTTTTTATTTATGTAAAATATCGGCCAAAATATTTAATAAAACGTTAAATAGATTAGTGGTTAATGAAAGTAAAAATTGAGATTTAAGTAATGGGTTCAATTCCTAGCTACAACAAGAGGCCTTTTTTTTATTAATTGCTTCCGGTCTATAAATATTCAGTGCTGGCACTGGTAATATGTAATCTTTGCACACGACAAACCGTATCTCTATGCAAAGTGAGAACGAGGAGGATGGTGCGTAGCTATTTTGGGTATGATCCGATTGAGAAACAATATAAGGTACTACTGTGTCGAAAAGACAAGGTCTTCGATAAGTATCAAGTTCTGACATTATTACAAGATGGAAAATCGTCATCATGGAGAAGGGTCGAATGTTGCATTCCGCATTATACTGAACGTTTGGTTTCAGCTACTGAGATATGCATTAATGGTGTTTTGTATTACAAAGCCGCGGTCAATAAGTATGATGACGATTCCATGATCACTTGCTTTGATGTTAGGTCTGAGAAGTTCAACGTTATCCAAGTCGCTGAAAGTTTTATTGGAAACCTTTTTGCAACTCTAGTAAACTACAAGGGTAAACTAGGTATACTTGTGTGTCCAAAGTATGGCTTCGTTTATAAACTTGGTACAAGTATGCAGTTGTGGGTGCTAGAAGATGCTGAAAACCAGGAATGGGCAAAGCATGAATACATGTTGCCAGATTTGTGGGAGAATATAGTTGGAGGCGTAGGTTTAAGATTTGCTGGAGTGACTCCTACGAATGAAATTGTGTTGTCGCCGATGTACCCAGGGCCGGCCCTGGGCTAAAGCCCATAAGGCAAAGGCTTTAGGCGCCAAATTATAGATATACTTTATGGGCGCCAAGATTTAAACAAATGTTACTTTAGCTTAGTGGTTTATGTCATTCACATTAATCTAAAGGGGGCGGGTTCGACTCCTTCTACCTGGTTACTATTTTTTTCTTTTTATTCCCTATCTTTCTAACAATTTAGTCTATTCTGTCACAAATTATCAAATAAACTATTTAATCAAGTAAACCCTAATTATTTTTTGTCAACTTAAACTAACTTTAGTTATATCTTTAAAATAGATATTCTTCTGGTTTTTGTTTTCTATTTTATTTTATTTTAATTTGATAAAATAGCTTTCTATAAGAATATTTATTATAACAAAAGATTTAAACTATTAGTTTCTCAACTTCTACATCTTTTTAAATAGACACGAACATCATCTTTCACATTTAATAATAATAGTATTATTTTTCTATCTGATCAACTAAATGGATTACCACTGATATTAATAGAATCAATCTGACATATATATTTAGTTATTCAAAGTTCATAGAAACATCATTTTCATGAATAATATGTTATGACTTTGTATTTTCTTTATTTTGGTTAACAAATTAGGATTTAATAGTATGTTACATTATTTTGATTACAAATTTTATAATGCAGTAAAAAAAAATTAATTATACTTAAGGGCAAAAAAATTGTGTGCGCTTTAGGCACCAAATTAGTCCGGACCGGCACTGGATGTACCAACACTTTGTCACGCCTTTCTACATTTTCTACTACAATATCGAAAGAAACACGATCCAAAAAGTTCAAATCCAAGGAATGAGAGCGCCTCATAATAGTATAATTTACACCCTTATAGACCATGTTGAGGACGTGAAATTTATGCAAGTGTTGTAACTAGAGCTTAAAGACTTTTGTAAGAGAGCTAGTCTGGCTCTCGGTTTTCATCACATGGTTATGGGATTTTTTTTTTTTTTTTTGTCAACCATGGTTATGGGATTTTATTTCCATTTAATTTTATTAGAAACTAATACTTTTTTTTCTTTTTGTTAAAATGAAACTACGTTTGTTTCTTGTAAAACGATATAATCTGTAAATAAGTTCATAACTCATAACAATATGAGCAAAAGAAAAATCTAGTATCACAGAGATCATACACGTACAATAATAATTCACTCTGTTTCCTCCAGGAAATTAAAGCAGGAAAATAAACGTGACTGAACAAAAAAACAAAAACAAAAATGGACAACAAAATCATGGCCACGTTTTGTTGATAACATACGTATGCATTAGAAAATTAGCATATTTATGATGACGGAAAAAAAAGAAAGAGAACCAAAAAAAAACTGGACTTAATGATCCAGTAAAGCTCAATTTTTTTGCAATTTTCTTGAAGCACAAGGTACCATGACAAGCGTATTGAGGATGACAAACCCTAATCTGATAAACGGCAAAAATCTCCACAAAGGATCTCCAACACTAGTTAGAGCTGAAGAAAGCAAAATTCGAATTCCCTGGAGATTCTCGACCAAGGAAGTATCCTTCAGAACGTCACAAGCCACTGCTTCTTCTGGCTTGTCTTCAACTACAACAGAACCAAAGGTTAGTTATGACAATAATCTTTGACATTTTCTGAACTGTCTCTGTTTTTTTTTTTTTTTTTGAATCTTAGACCATGAAAACACAGGGGAGAGAACTCAATACGACGACGTATGACGACAAAATGTTAGCCAACTATGTACCTGTCTACGTCATGCTTCAGCTTGGAGTCATAACCAACGACAACGTTCTTGAAAACGCTGAGAAGCTCAAGAAACAGCTTAAGAAACTGAAACAGAGTCAAGTAGATGGAGTAATGGTTGATGTGTGGTGGGGAATAGTGGAATCAAACGGTCCAAAGCAATACCAATGGAGTGCTTACAGAAACTTGTTTGAGATAGTGCAAAGCTGCGGACTGAAACTACAAGCTATAATGTCGTTTCATAGATGCGGAGGCAACATAGGAGACGATGTTAACATCCCGTTACCTAAATGGGTGCTTAAAGTAGGAGACACGAATCCAGACATCTTCTATACGAACAAGAGTGGTAATAGAAACAAAGAGTGTTTGTCTCTCTCTGTAGATAACTTGTCTTTATTCAGAGGAAGAACAGCTGTTGAGGTAATGAAAAACTATTATATTTTAGCAAACCCTAAAAAATAGCTTTCTAATTGTATAACCTTACTCTGTTTGTAGATGTATAGAGACTACATGAAGAGCTTTAGAGAGAACATGGATGATTTTATCAGCTCAGGAGTTATAATAGACATTGAAGTAGGGCTTGGTCCTGCTGGAGAGCTTAGATACCCTTCTTACACTGAGACACAAGGATGGGTGTTCCCTGGAATTGGAGAGTTTCAAGTAAGAATATAAAAAGGGAAACTCTTAATCTTCTTAGGTTTATAACTTTTTGTTGTTATGTTCTTTCAATTTCACAGTGCTATGACAAGTATCTAAGATCAGATTATGAGGAAGAAGTTAGAAGAATTGGACATCCTGAATGGAAGCTTCCGGAAAATGCAGGCCAATACAATGATGTTCCAGAAGCAACCGGGTTTTTCGAGTACTCGAAAGGGACTTACCTTGAGGAACAAGGAAATTTTTTCTTGTCTTGGTACTCAAGAAAGTTACTTCTTCATGGTGATCAGATTCTTGATGAAGCTAATAAAGTGTTTGTTGGATGTAAACTAAAGTTAGCAGCAAAAGTGAGTTTCCATAAGACAAAATTACACTAAAAACATGATAAATATTTATGGTTTTTTGATTTTTTTTGCTAGGTTTCTGGAATCCATTGGTGGTACAAAACTGAGAGTCATGCAGCAGAGCTAACAGCTGGTTATTACAATCTCAAAAACAGAGATGGTTATGCTGCAATTGCGAAAATGATGCGTAGGCATCACGCTATATTGAATTTCACTTGTTTAGAGATGAGGAACACAGAGCAGCCAGAAAAAGCTAAGAGTGGACCTCAGGAACTTGTTCAACAAGTAAGCAAATTGATCATTGTAACCATATGCTACTGAAATTGATTTTGTGAACGTTTGGTTTTTGAAGGTTTTGAGCTGTGGATGGAGAGAAGGGATTGAAGTCGCAGGCGAAAACGCACTTCCAAGATTCGATAGAGATGGATACAACCAGATTATACTAAACGCAAGGCCTAATGGAATTAACCTAGATGGCAAACCGAGGATGTTCGGGTTCACATATCTCCGGTTATCTGATAGACTTCTCAGCGAACCGAACTTCACAACGTTTAAGACGTTCGTAAAACGAATGCATGCAAACCAAGTAAGCAATCAAAAAGCCTTTACTTTGAGAACTGTCTTTACTTCAAGATTCAGTTTTAGCATTTCTTAAGTTGTGTGTTTACTTTCATGGTTTAGGAATATTGTTCAGAGCCTGGAAGGTATAATCATGAGCTGTTTCCATTGGAAAGATCGAAAACCAATGAATCATTGGAGAAATTAATGGAAGAAACAGAAGTAGTTGATCCACTTCCATGGCTGGAGGAGACAGATATGAGTATTAAACCCTTTGAGAGTTTACTGTCTCTCTTGAAAAACACATTCTTGAGGAACAAGTCCTAGGTTATCATTGTTATGTTACATATGTATATGGAAGTAAATAATTCATCCTTATGATGTACATTTAATGCATTAGTTTCGTATAAACGCACAAGTCATTTCTCTATTGTATAGTGTCTCTCCCTTTAATGTATTTGTATTCTCTAGAATTAAAGTTTTCAATTTAAAAAAAAATGCCCGTGACAAGGAACATAAATAGGTGTGTCTGAACACTGAGAGAGAGCACTGGTTATAAGTTGAGGAACCAAAGCAAAGAACAAGATTCCTTTAAAACGTCATTATCACCAATGCATTCAAACCCCACATGCGACAACAGAGCGTGACATAAAGGAGAAAGCTTTCATATTTTTTCAAAATGACACGACTTTCCAAATTACAAAAGAGACTTCGAAATAAGTGAAAACAAATTAAAAAAAGAAAAAAAAAAGATTCTACTATGTTAATAGATATGAAAATATTATTACACAATTAACCATTGGAATATATAGTCAAGGAGAAGGACCCACCTGTGTTCATCCATCACTTATCATGTCTTTGTCACTTAGCAGCTTCGTCTTTAGCCGCAGTGGCAGAAACGTAATAAGCAACACAAAAGAGGGCATGTAGGAAACACAAGATCCCTCCAATGGAGAGATAATGGTGATGTGTGAATCCACAAGAAGATCTTGACTTGTTGTTAGACATCGTCCCAATCACTAAAGCCCCAAATCCAACGGCGAATACGATCCTGTGAGTACCATCCAATCAACACACACACACCATGTGACGTTCATTTCGGGCCAGCAATTATTAATGCCAAGAAAATTGTATTGAGAGTTACTTAATAAACGTACCAAGTGAGGACAAGACAAGCCATGGAGATTTGCTTAGTAGAAGAAGATCTTTGAAACTCGTCTTGAGAGCAAATACAAAGACAGCCTCCAACCAAATTGATGAGGACATGAGCCATTACCAATACCGCGGCTGCACCTAGACCTAGCCTGAACGCGTCTTGGCTTGGCTCTCTGCACTCAAATAGCCACAGCCTCATGTGCTTCACCTATATTCATACATTTGCAACAAGGCCGTTTTTTTAGCATGTTTGTTCGAGTAGGAACTATCATCATCATGATGGAATGGGAATAAATAGTTAGTTTTGAGAGAGGATATATGTATAGAATACCTGATTTTGAGCAACTTCTGCTTGGATTCCGAGGATTGCAGCAGCTATGTCTAAGCCCACGATGACTAAACAAACGAGAATGCCTCCTATCTTCGTCATTTTTAATAACTAGGATACAGTTTTGTTAGAGATGGTTTGAGAAGGTTAAAGTTCAAAATGTGAATCAAGAAGAGGAGATGCTTTCCTCTGAGGGAGAGAATGTTGTCTGATGTGGAAAATGGGAATGGATAGTGGAAAAGTCTAGTGAGTAATTAATTATCTTTTGTGACCAAATGGGTTGATATTTAAAGAGTGATAGGTAAAGCTATGAGTGTGGGGGGGGGGGGGAAAGAGAGAGAAAAGGAGAGAAACTTAAAGAAACAAAAAGTTAGAAAATGAAATAAAAAGATATTTCTTGTTGGTGACCATGACATGCAAACTTTGTTGATAAATATGTAGTTTATGGTCTGTGTTAGTACTACTCATGTATTACCATCTGAATAAAGATATAAACTCTGGAATATACAAAATCATACATAATTTTATCAGATTAATTAGCATACATAACCTGTATAATCAACAAAGACTATATATAAAGCCCTACCATTTAAAATGTTTAATGTGTCTAACTATTCGAGTAGTGGCCGGATATTAAATCATAAATCAGTACACTACCTTGATTTGATTTGATTTTTGAGAAGGCATAGAAGCTAATTTTCGATTTACAATTAATAGGATTGTTTTCTACACAAGTACATATAGCCATTTATCGTTTTAAAATTTAATATTAATGCATGTGTATGCATATTTTTAATGTTTATTGTAATTAGAATCCAGTAGAACTCTCGAAAAAAATTACGAGCACCGAAAGGATATACGTAAAACAATATATAACCAATAAAGTATATGCAGAAGAAACGGGGAATAAGATTAGCTGGGATATGCATGTGGCACTTTGGCACCGAAGCCAATAAAGCTTCTCTTTGTCCATATGGGATGACGAATTTTCTTTAGATAATAACTTATTGATTTTGTAATTAACATTCCACGTTACTGATAACATAATATTTGTTGTTATAATTTTTTTTTTTTGATAACCCAGTATCCGACCACAAAGCGTGATCGACTAGCCCACCGGGCCTAAGCCCATGCCATGACAGGATTTTTAAGCGTCCACTTAAGGGTCCCTGGTTACGCTAAGTGGTCTGGAGCGCCACACCAACTCCGCATGTAAATTATGTGGTGGCCGGGGTTCGAAGTCGGGTGGCGGACACCTCAGCCGAGGTTCCTTTACCACCAGGCTACGAAGCCCGGTTATAATTGATTTGGTTACGTTGTGTAAAATGATTGGATTCTTTGTGTTGGGAAGGAAGAAAAGTAGGGCATAATACAACCCAACCAAGCGTGGGCAGTGTCTTCACTTCTCTGATAAAGAATCAAATTTCTCTTCTTTAGATGTATGGCAGAGTGGGTTAGGAAATTTTATAGAAGTATAGTATAAATGTTTTATACTATTTTGTAAGGAAAACATAAAACATAATTGGACGTGCTGAAAGTGAAACTCACAAAATCAACTCTACATAAAATGTCTAGAGAAAGTAAAGATGTGGGGGCGAACATGCATACAAAAACTATTGCAACACATACAAATACTAGCTAACAAACTGGTAAGTGGTAAAGCAAAGGAGTGAAGTGTATTAACTGTTTAGCTGGGTCAAACTGAGTTTGGAAAATGGTACGTAACACCAAGAAGTTATGGTCTGATAATTGGTGCTTAGAGTTAGATGTGTTTTGTGTAATTATTCTCCTATGGTATTGGGCTTGGGCCCTTGAGAGGGAAATTTCAGAAAACCTAACATGCATGTTATCTTGTGCATGAGGTACTGGATGACAACACTCATCCTAGCAAAAGGTCTATCATCGGATTGACGGCACCAACAGACTCTCAACGACATGCACTCTTCAATCTTCATCACTCAACGGTTATTCAGTGTTATTTTTATACATATAATAATAGATTCAATCTTCTTAGAGGTTTAAAATCTTGTGTAGACAGTCGTTTCTTTAAAGATCATGAGTTGTAAGATGAAAATTTTACTACCAAAAACCTACTTTTCGGGATGCATTTAGAATAAAGCATTTTATATAATCTTCTAAAATCCTAAGCTATATATAAGATATGTTATATAACACACAAATAAAGATAATGTATAGATGATTACAAATCACACTCACACAAGCAACCAATCAAGGCTCATTACTTTTCTGGGACATGAATCAATATACATAACTCAAATAAATTTTGCACAATGTATACATGAATATGGGCCAGAAAATAGAGATCTCAAAATTAAAATTCAAAAGGAGAATTAACAAACAAATGGTTAACAACATTGACAAGACGTGAGCCCACGATAACAATTGAAATGCCATGAACAAAAACAAAGAAAGTGTTGAGTAAATAAAGGAATCATCAAGCCCATTTAGCCAATAAAGACATGAGGCCAGCACCCAGAAGAAGAGCAATATGGGCCATAATTTGAAGCCCAGTATTGGATTGCATCTTGGGGTGCATGAAGTCTGCTGCGAGAAGATCTACTAGAGACATGTAGATGAGAATACCTGCGGATGCAGCGTTCAGTACTCCTTGAACAATCAGAGCCGTTGGAGAAGACTCATCGTACGTATTAGCTATTCCCATTCCCACAGCAATACCTATAGGAGTCGTCAACGCGAAGAACGCCGACATCAATGTTACTGACAAACACTTGAATTTGCCCTATAAAAACAAATCGTGTGTGACCATCAATAACGCAACTCTTTAAAATTATATAAGTAGACACATAAATGTCTCATCACATTCATATCATATACGGACAGAGTTATATATATATCGATCAAATAAATAAATGAGAAAAAAAAACCTGAGCAATACAACCACCAAGGCCAAGACCTTCGAAGCACTGATGAAACATTAAGGCAATGAAGAGAGCTTTCGCAGCTTCTGGACTCTGTGAAGCTCCAAGTGATATTCCTATTACCACTGAATGTACTATTATTCCCAACTCCAGTACCTACATTTTTTTGTAGAACAAAAATAACGCATAAGAATATCATTTATGAGATAAATATCAAATTTTACATTACATGTTACTTTATAAGATTTGGATTAAAAATTATAGTAGTTTAGAATTTTCGATTCATTCCAAACAATGGACCTTAACATTTTTTTTAAACCCTGTAAATATGATATGCTAAAAGCTATATATACGTATATAACATTATAGCTGAAAACTTTTTCTTTGACACCATGGAAAAAAAATCTGAAAAAACCCTGAAAAGTCACTTATCAAGAAAAAAAAAACCCTGAAAAGTTTTTATTTGGAATTTTCGGCAGTCAGCAACATGTGATGGTTTTTCTAGAGAATCAAACCTAACATGGTTCCGAATCTAAATAATTTTCGTTGACAACAAATAAGCTAGCAGAAATGCATGAATGTGTAGATTATGTTTTTTAAATTATCCTGAAAAAAAAAAAACACTTCAAGTTGAAAAATATACATCGATGCATGCATTAAAAATTTCTTGGAAATTAAGAAACAATTTGGTTTACGATAGGCGTTTCCATGTATAATTATGTTCGATTCAGAGATTCATAATTCTAGTAGAAAAAGAAATTTAAACAAGAAAACACAAACTCTATGATTGTCAAACGTGGAGCTAAACAAACCTGTGCAATAACTCTTGTCCTGAGCATCTGAACCTTGTCGGAATCAGCAGATGCCTCACCGGTTTCTCCATCAATGATCGTTTTCGACGCTTTGCAATGCGACTTATTGAAACTTGAAGTGGCAAAAGTATCAACGGACAACGTCAAGATCGCTGCCACCATCGCAATAAATCCGGTGAACGGAAACTCCCATGCCTCCGACGTGAGGCACGGTGAGTTAAGCATCGTGTAAGCCTCAGGCAAGACGTGCATGAACCCGGTAGCAAGGATAACTCCCGCAGCAAAAGCTTTCGTGATGAAGAAGAAAGACGTCTCTGGACGCAAAGAAGGGAAGACTTTGCCTAAGAGAGGAAAGAGAACTCCGATTACACCGGCGATTAAAACGGCAGGAATGGCTGCGATTTTGTATTTCCGAGCTCCGGCTTTGTTTTCATGGTCGTGGTCGTGTGAACACTCGCATTGTGGTTTCCCATGTGAATGGCCCTCATGTTGGGCTTCAGCGATGGCGATGAGGAGGAGGGAGATGGAGATGAAGAAGAGTGAGAGTTTCACGTTCTTCATCATGATAATTTAGGGTTTCTGAGCAAATGTTTTTGATGATGGAAAGGAGAAATAAAACTTTATTGGAAATGGAAGTATCTGTTGTGTATATATACGTATATATTAATATATCATATAAATTCGTGCAAATATTTTTGATCATTCATTACCTAGATATGAGCTCATGATTGTGAAACTAAACAAAAAATATAAAAAAAAAATCATTTGTAATTTAGTTTAGATAAATCAACAAAAAATTATTTTAATTTATTTTTCAACTTAAAAAATATTTTTTTGTAGCATAAAATTAAGCCCGATTTAAGTAAGAAGAAGAACAACAATATCTTTCACTTTATAGAAAGGAAAGAATAATTAGTTTTGTGGAATAGAACCAAGCTATATCTTATACTTCTCATAAGCTTAACACATGCCAAATTTCAATTATCAAAGCTGTCACAGTTCACTTATTTCCGCACAAACTGTTCTTTGTTAACTAATCTGAAATTGGTATCAAAGTTATTGTTATCTGAATTATATTAAATTTCTTTTTCTTTGTTAAAGAAACTGAATTATACTTTCATTATATAAAACAACTATTCAGTTCTGCTATATTGTAAAAGTGGTGATTTTATGTTTGTATCATGATATTGCCTATCAACTTTTATTTTTTCTTGGTTGAAGTCTTAAAGATACTGATTACGGTTATATGTTTGAAAAATAGTAAAATCACTGTTCTCAAATCCAATGTCTAGGCAAGGCAGCCTTCGTTTAACCTAGTCAATTTTTAACACTGGTAAAAGCCAGATTCTTCATTAGTTCAGAAAACGATGGATTATGTATTAGTAAAATACATTTTTAAATCCCGGCGTAAAATAAAACCAGTTTTCAGATGTTATCTAACATCTTTATAGTCTACAACTAGTTTGGTTGTCAATAATCATCTATTTTAATCAAGGATCATAACATTTCGGAACCCACCACTACACGTGTATCTAAAAGCTTCAATGTATTTGTTGATTGCGCAGAAGATTCGCACCCTATATTTTCAAATTTATGGTAAGCTAACTTTTCATAAAATGTTATTGTGGAACTCAAGAGTATTTTTTTCCAGAATAGTAGTTTTTCCTTGTGGAACTCACACTAGAATGAAAATTTGTAGATTGCATTATATGTGGTATTGATTTCCTTATCAACTTAGTATACATCATTTTATGTTCTAAAATGATTGAATGAAAAAAGAGTGCATCGTAAACGTAGTCGAGAGCGACTATTATGGAAGGAAAGAAGAGCAAATACATTGGATTTCTTATTAAATTAGACTCGTTCAGACACGTCGTCACGAGTTAGCTTGGTCTCCGAAACTACTTTTAACAATTAAAAATAGAAAGATGAGTAAAGATCTAAGATAAAGAATATTATTCCTTTTTCCTTTTTTAAAAGAATGGCGAAAGAATGTCGACATAAAATGTACATAGCATACAAGTTGACTCCTTTCTTAGCTCACAAATAATGGTAATGAAGCTTAGGGTATCAAGTCAACCTCTAATAATGTCGATAGCATGGCTCATTTTCGTTTCCATATGCATATTTTTTCTTTTGATACTTATAATAATCAAAATTTTCTTTCATCCAACTGTCTTAACGCGATTATATACACATCATCCTTCTGGATACAGATTATCTAATAATTTTTCGTTTAATAGAATAAAATTTTGTCAATGAAACATATTAATTTATATAATCTTATTGATTAGTCTATAATCTTATTCAAACATAGCTGACATATAATATGCCAAATTACAGTTCTTAATTATATATTTAAAATATTGATTTCAAAATATATCCTTTTAAAGACAGAATAATATTTTAGTTTTACTTATAACTTGATTTTTGGTATATATATTAATTTGTTAAATGTTACTTAACAAAAACTTAACCTGTTTCTGATTGACCATTTTCTGCAATTAGATATATTTAATATTTTATTGCCACTAAATGTTTGATATTCACAATACTTATCCTAGTGTTATACAAGGCTTAATAAACATAATTATTTCACGGATATCACAATCTACGTTTAAGGACTTAAAAGTTGTTAAAATGGATATATTTTTATACTGAAGACTAAGATGGAGATCAGCCTAAGTTCCCCAAAAGATAAACACGAAATATTGTTTTTATTGCATCATTTGTAAACTGAGAAGTTTGGAAATAAATTCAGAAACAGAGACGCCAATAGGCATCATAGGAGAAAGAAAGAGCTCCACATACTGGATCCTCGTAAGCAGAAACAGAGGTAAGCACACCAGGAGTGTTGAAGTAGAGTAACAGTTTGCTGACAAAGTTCTCCCAAATCTGAATCTTCAGAAACCATAAGTTCCGTCAGCCAAGATGTTCACTCCTGACCCTAGTTGCAATCTGATCAGCCACTTTGATGTTTTTTGCCGACATGTTCCAAATTTCATAGTTAAAAAACTTAAAGTACAGACTGAGAATATAGTGGAAAAAGGACCGAGATATGAAAAGCAAGACTGTTGCAGGAGAGCCTTTATTGTAATCTGAGAAGTTCCAAATTAAACCCAAAAAAAAAACAAAAAAAAATGACATATGTACAATATGTAGTAATTTATACCAAAAAAAAATCCAATACTACCCTAATATGGTAACTCATCAACTTATTTACACACAAACATATCAGAACTGGTTTTAGCCATCTATTAATCGTTTTCCAAAAAAGCCATCTATTAATCAAGAAATTAAAGAAAAATTAAGTTTAAGTGATGCCAAAGACAAGCTAAACCGCGAATCTCTATTTTCTACTGATTGCCTTTCTGCAAAGCAGTGTCATGTGTGTTTACACACTTAAAAACTGAGATTAATAGTCAGTAGGGTATCATTTATGATCTATCTCGTGCGTTGGTATCTAATCTGTGTGGCTCTCCTCTAAAATACTCCTACTATACTAGTCTCTTTTCTTTTCACAAGAACACATATAAAGCGAGGAGTATTCGTTTGAGTTATTTTAAACTCGTCATTATGAGAATCAACTTTCTCAGACTTGAAAACACTAAAAGAATAATAAAAAAACAGACTTGGACCAACTCGTATTTCAATTTAAAGATGAAGATAATGGTGGTCAATTTATGGCAGCACGAATCGTTGACTTTTCTTGTTTTTTTTTTAACTGAAAAAGATTAAACCCGGGTCTATTAAAGACACAGACCTAACCCCCGGGTGGAGGTACAGCCCACGGATAGACCCTCTCCTGGACATTCAAATGGATTGAAAGCAATAATCCATATCTGTGTGGCCAGTGGGGTTTGAACCCGGGTTCGCCTTATTGGGTTTATTCCCTCAAGCGCCACTAGGCTACCGCCACTGGTTACACACCATTGCACACATTATCATAACGCTTTGCCGTTATACAAAAGATTAAAAAAAAGATGAAATACAAGATACACAAGTTAACAAGTATCGAAAGAGAAATCATGCGTATACAAAAAATCAACAAAAGGATGATACAACTTACCAAAGACAAGCACGCACGTTTGATTTTTTAAAACACACACACACACATCACACTCTCTCCCTTTCTAAACATTTGATATTATCTGGTAAATAGATGCATATTACTGAGAGAGAGAGGGTGATAGAGTGAGAGGCTAAGCGAGTTTAGTAGTAGTGGTCATGAGTACAATGATCTTACTTGATGTCTTTTGCATCAGTCTTGACACTTTTCTCTTTCTCTTTCTCAACATCTTCTTCCTCGTCATAGTATTGTTCATCTTCATCCTCATCACTGCCCATGTCATGGTCGAAATATTCTTCATAGAATTGATCGTCTGTGTCATCATCCTCACCGTTCTCCAGCTTGTTTCTCGGAATTTGTCTGATTAGCCTCTCTTGGATACGGTCTCTGATTGCAGTTCCCTATTAACATTTTAGGCATTTGTTATATTTTGACCAAAGCGTACACAGAACAGAACATAAGTATTAGCTTATAAACGTATGTGTTGTTAGTTGATAGTGTCTTCACAATTCTACTTACCATCTTATGGCAACCTTCTTCAAATATTTCAAGAAATCCAGCGACCCATCGGTCTGCATTCTCTACCCATTCGTTGCGCAGCATTTTCACGGTTTGTATCTGGAAAATCCGGGTTTAGACATTAACAAAAGGAGTAAAAGAGGCAACTGAAAAATTATAAGAATGAAACATTAAGATGTAATATCATATGCATGAAGGTAGTCATCATCTAGCTAAGGCATAAACTGCATGGAGGTTTCAAGCACAGCGGAAACAAGTGATAAAGGCTGCTACTATAGGGATGGAAATATTTAACAACTTGATATAGCCTGGCACCACTACTACATATCAAAGAAGCAGCTCCTTTTGGTATTCGAAATTGAAACACGAAAGGATTAACACGCATCACTTAATGCACAACAAGAAGACGCAAAGCAGAAGAAAGAGATAAGAATGTTCTTTGACTAGAGGCTGAAAATACCAAAAGAAGTGAACGAGATTCAAGTTATGAGAAGTTGGACTGCAAAGGTAACACAGTAAGGTGTTTAAACAGTGGCGAATAGTCATAGGGTACAAGTTCAAGAGGAGAGGTAAACACAGACAAAACCTAAAAAAAACCTTGCAGCTTATGATGAACAACTTGCTTAGCAGAATGCAACACAGTTAAAATGATAAACTTATGATGATCAATTAAGCAAAAAGAAGTAGAAGAAGTAGTAGGACATGCCTTTTCTCCAACTTTTTCTTGTTGTTCTTTGACTCTCTCGTGGAGTTTCTTTAGCCTCATATTAACTCTAAGTCTCTTTTCCTGTTGCAAATCGATAAACCCAAAGTTGATTCCTCCAAACGAGAAAAAAAAATATGAAGAGATAGCAAGAAAATGAAGACATGCCTTGACAAAGCTAACACCAAGATCTTCCCTTGAATATCCTCTATCAAGGTTACGCATGACATACTGGTTGTAATCTTTGACTATTCTCATGATAATGTCGGAGGTTGAAATTCCTTCGGTTCGCATTGTTTCCTTAAACCTCCCAACTTTCTTAACCTGCATCAAAAATGGTCAGTTAAACCAGAAATACAAAAATGTCAAGCGTGATGAAAATCATCCCTCCGACTCACAAATTCATAGACATCTTTTCCAGCTCCGCTGGTGTCTGCATACCTGTGGATCATATTAGATTCAAAGAAGGTTACTTTATTATTCGTATCTTTAGATTCACAGATTAACACAACTAACAAGAAGGTAGTAAGAACAATCATACTTAAAAAAATGTCCACCATTTCACAGAAACTAGATAAAGAGTTAACACAAAAAAAAAATGTTCTTACGGAAGGGAATCATGAGCAACATAGTCAATCCGGTGCTTATCAAGAAACTCTTGGTTGATCACCCATGGTGCATCCGGAATGACTTCATCCACCCACCTGTACAGTAAACACAAACTTGTCCTATAAAAACTCCATTCCTTACCAAATCAATAACTTCTACTGTAAACAACACATATATAGAAAAAGGAAATTACTTGCAATGACGAAGAGATTCATAACGCTCTTCAGCAGTCATGACAGTCCTTCCCTTGTACTTATGTGTAGTCTCATCGTTGCAACATCCAACAAGAAGGTAAGTGTTCGGAAACCTAAACGAAGAACACCAAAAACCATTCCCTCTAAATACCTCCTTACTCCTCAAAATTACAAAATCAAAACTAAATCACAAGAAATCAAATCATTACACCACAATGCTTTGCAAATCATTACACCACAATGCTTTGCAAATCATCATCACAAAAAAAGTTTGGCAGTTATATAAAATCCAACACACACACAGCGATCAAATCAATCACCGAGACTTATCTAATCAAATAGTATCAGAGACAAACCACAGTGTCAAGGATGCAAATTAAAAGTCAAAGCTATCTACGGAGAATAATACTAACGATTTCTTGGCTTGTTCGAGAGATCGAGCGTGGCCAAAGTGGAAGAGATCGTAGATCCCATCGGCGTAGACGCGGACGGGACGATCTGTCGGAGGAGGAGCCTGGATTTGTGTAGAGCCGGAGACTGCGACGGCGGTGGGATCGCCGGTGACGTTGCTCATATTCTCCGATCGAATGGGTCGAAATCACCAGCCCCGCCTTGTATGAAACAGAAAAGTAGAATAACTAAAAATATCTTTCTATCTTAACATTATTTGATTGATTTTACATATTTAGTTATTGTTTTTGTAATTTAATTTTATTCGACCAAGTACAATGTTCTGTATGTTATAATATCGTTAAGTACAATGTTTAGCGGAACAATAATCTCTTAAAAAAAATGGAAATATGATTCGACTCAAGTTATTTTTTTTTTTCTTGAATTTGAGGATTTAGTTGACTTCCTTTTGTCTCTTCAATTGTTATTTCAGATAGACGAATAAGTCGGTAGTGTATATTACTCTCTCTTGGGCGTGGCAAGCACAAGTAAGTCATTGAAAAAGTCCAAATTGCCTGTTGTCTATACATGACCCTCAACTCAAGGTCAACCAAGGTTGTCTATAACTTTGAAATGGTCACTACAAAGAAAGAAAATATGAAGAATACTTTTCTATCTATATGTTTTACGTTCAGAGTAACAGTTACCTCAGAGCCATTTCCAGAATATGAATGTCACTCTTTTTCTGTACAAAAAGGCATACCAATTTGTTTTTAACTTGTGAAAAAAAGGACTCTTGAGCTTGTTCTGTTAGTGGGACAAACGGTGATCACTCGGATGGCTCGGACCAGAGCCCTGAAACTGTGAAGAAGACTCCATTGTCTGCCCAATCAAAACATAATAAGAAAGTAAGCAACTCTTAGACACGGGGTGATCACGTTCCTCTACTGTAAATAGTCTTAGTTCAATCGTGAATCAAATAAATAAAAACGTGTTTGGGGTAAATGTGCTATCTTCACTTCTTGTCTATTCTGGTTTTTAATAACATATATCTTTTTAACAAGAGTACGGGTACATACCATGTCGTGCAGAGTTCCTTCCATGTGGTAGCAGCCACGGATAGCGCTTCCCCTGAAACTTGTCTGTCCCTGGAATTTAGACAATCCCAAAACGACAAACATCATTCCTTTTTACGCCAATTTGACTGTGGATGAAGAGAAAGGGTGGAAAGTATATAAAACATCAACTCACAGCTCCTTGGATGCTTGGTTGCGTCTCATATTGATTCATCCGTCCATTAATTGAATGCAAGTTACCCTACGCATAATACGAATATCAGCGCCCACCTTCATTTTTAGCTAAAAGCTTCCAATTTCAAGCGGTTAGATTATGACCAGAGATATAGATTCACACGCAAGGTTATATAAGAAACAGCTCGGAAACTAAAAGAGAGATAGATAAAGCATTGCACCATTGCTTGTATGGTTGCCGGATGTCCGTAGTAACCATCCTGCACGGAAGAAACCGATGAGAACTGCAAGAAAATACATACTTTTCAGTATAAAAAACAACAAGAAGTGATAACGTTACGAATGTGCAGTTAAACCTACTCCAATAGGCTGCTGACTCGAATAATAGATCCCAAGAGGTGCTGCACGGGAGCCTAGTTCCGTTGCTTCCATATTTGCTGTTGCTTGAGGAATGTAACAGTTCTCAAAGGTAGGAGCTCTGGAGCTAACTTGTTCCTGCACATCATAAGAGCCGAAATGTAAATCTGATTGTATAAGGATGCATCCAGGAACTAAGCACAAATCAGAAAAACTTACAGTTTCTTGGCGGAGTTCTTCTGACCTGTTTGTTGCATCCTCTGGCCCAAAGTATGCCTTTTAACAACAAGACAATCCATCAGATCCTTCTGCTAGGGCTAGCAAACTACAAATAATCTCATAAGATTGAACATCAATCTAAAAGTCACCTTTCTTTTCTTCTGAGTTTTCTTTTTCCTTGACAGTTTTGATACACAGCCCAACATATCTTCATTCTCTAAGCCAATAGACTCACTTGTCATTAACTTGTCAGGCCATGAAGGAAACTTGGGAGAATTATTCACACTAACACACTTCTTCAAGTTTTTTTCCAGAAACTGTAAAGCAGTCTTGTAGGCTTCATCTGATAAAGATGCAACTTCTCCAAGCTTGACAAAGCGCTTACAAAGATAATCAAAACGTGCCATCCGGTTCTGTGCAGCGGCACATTTTTCATGTTTTTCTTCTCTGTTGTTACAGTTCTTTGACCAACGCTTCAATATATACTGAGATGGAATTCTGGAAGCATCAGAGTTTTGAAGTACGAGTATCGCATGTTTGCAGAGGAATCCCTGGTACTCGAATAAATAACAAGAGCAACAAATATCCAACAACTCTTTGTTCACAGCAACGAAGAAGTTTTGGCGTTTCTCAAAATCTTCAACGCAAAATATAGCTGTTGTCTCATCTTCTCTTTCTTTCTGAAGCTGACAAGAAACTACTCCCAATACCTCAGCTTGGAACTTCTTAAAAGCAGCGTCTGTGTAGATTAAGGAAAGTTGTTTCTCAAATTCCAAAGAAGATCTCAGTGTAGGCTGTTTGCTCAGAGAATCAAGATCATCCTTTGCTTCCACATCACAACGATACTGGAGAAATTTCATGTACAGTTCAAAGAAGTCATTAAATGTAGCCTCTGAGTTCATATACTTGTCGAAATGAGAGACGATACTTCCAGATCTTTCAGGTCCAGACAATCCAGCGAAACTAATTCCATGAAAATAATGTGGCACCCACTTTTTCCGATCTCTAAACAACGAGTGAAGCCACTCATTCTCGTTAAGTTCAAACTTACCAATCATCTCTGACCAACTCGTTTCGAATTGCTCATCTGTCCAAGATCCGTGCACACAGTTTCTAAAACATTCCACAAAACTATCATCTTGACTCACAAAAGGATTCACCATCTCAGGAACTTTACTCATCACATTCCACAAACAGAAACAATGACGAGAAGTTGAAAACACATCAGCAACAACGTCGCTTAAAACCTTATCATGATCTGTTATCATCACTCCAGGAGCTTGACCTCCCACTGCTTTAAGCCACGTCCGAAACAGCCACGAATATGTTGACTCACTCTCTTCTCCAATCAAAGCACATCCAAGCAACACATAACGACGGTGATGGTTAACACCGACGAAAGGAGCAAACGGGATTCTGTATCTGCCTCTAACGTAAAACGTATCGAAGAGAACAACGTCAGAGAAACTACAATAGTCGTGCTTGGCCTTCACATCAAGCCAAAACACATTTCTAATACGTTTCTCACGGTCAAAATCCACCGCGTAGAAAAAACCAGGCTGCTTATCCTGCATGTCCACGAAATGCTCGAGGATTAGTTTGAAGTCATTCTCTTCTAATGCCAATTGAAGACCTTTCTTTTGATATGCTGACGCACCAGAAGTCTTGTTCTTCCCCCTTACGCTGGCGTAAAAATCATCCGGAGAGATCTCATGGTTATGTTCTTTTACGAAACTGTATATAACCCATTTCTCGTCTTCTTTCCTCTTCATGTGCAGACCAGCTTTGCAACCCGTCTTTGGACATGAACGCGGGTTTATAGCCGCGCTTGACTCGCGCTTGGTTCCGAATCTTGAACACGCTATTTTGACATCGATGAACTTCCCTGATCTCTTTGAACGACGGCTAGCTTTTATTGTGATGCCAAACCCCACTGATCGAGCATATTCCCTGTAGAAATAGTACGCAGCCTCCTTGGACTCAAACTCCATCCCGTTCCTTGGCTCGCCAAGAGCTGCAAGATGCTCTAACGTGCTGCTAGCAAAGTTTCCACTTGTACTTGCCTCACAGCACTCATCAACATTGGCACCACTTCTTGACAGAAGATCTATTGCGACACCTTCAACATCCATCTCATCCAAAACTAGCAGGACCATCAACACCTAGATGTGATCTATTTTATTCCAGCTCTATTCATGTGAAGGAAAGTCATAAACATGGAGCCTATTGACAATTATCAGTTCCAGGAGACACCATGATCGACTCAACAGCTGTCAAGCAGATGGGATTGAACAGAAACAACTGTTTAGACCAGGTTCCACAATCCAAACCAAAGCTGATGACTAGACCACACACGCAGAAATTTAGAGATTTGCTAATTTTCAGACAGGACACTATGAGTTACTACACAACACGAACATGGATAATCCGACAAAGCAAAAAACAGAAGAGCTGTTTTGTTTCAAAAAAAAACAACACAAGCGGTCCAGGATCGAACACACCTGATTTCAGTTCAACTTCCTCCAGCGGAAGTGGGAGATTCAAAACGAGGTCGAGCGTTGAAAGAGACGCTGCCGGTAAAGTTGTGAAGCGAGCACCGGAGATAATTTTTGTTCTGAATGTCCGGGTTGATAGTTTCAGGTCAATTACAAAATCGCCCCTTTTAGTTTCTATTTATTTAGAGATAAGTTTTAATACATACATTTATATAAATCTATAAAGACACCCAATTTGGAAAAATAATCGAAACTCTCCTGTTTTTTTGTTTGTCTGGAAGATCACAAATGATATAATCTCTACTATACCGGCGATCATATGGCCGGAGAATCATCATCACCGCCGTTTGTGACGGGAGAGAGAGTGGTGGTGGCAGTCGTGGTTTCACGTGTAATCTTGTCTCTCCCTCTATCTCTGATCTCTCATGGCTTCTCCCTCTTCCTCCTCTGCCTCTCCGCTCTCCTCATCGAGCTACGCGCAGAGAGTTCTCCCTTTCTTCTCTCTCGTTTCACCGCCAGGTAAAAATCTATTTGAAAAGCACGAAACTTTACGAGGTTAGAAGCATGAAACTCTATGAGATTCAAGATCTTCTTGTTTTGGAACAAAAAAAAGTTTGCGTTTTGTTACGTTTTCTTCTTTTAATTAATGGTTTATTTATTGCAGGAGAGGTGCATCTTCAGGGATACTGCTTGGAGCTGTAACACTTCCAGCTGTTATGATGTCTAAGTTGGTTCAGCTTACAAGAGCTATCTCACTCCATCAAGCTGAACACGATGGTCCGTAGTTTTCTCAGACAACTCTTTAAGATTATGTCTGTGTTGACATTGGATGTTTCAGCTGAAGTTTAGTCCTTATTTCTCACATCAAAATTAAGATGCTTTGATCTCTGTTGTGTAGAGCTTGCGCATGTGACGATGCAGTATTGGCCAGCATCGGCTAGCTGCTGCGCGATTCTTATATATCTCTCAGTGGTTATGTCTCAAGCGAAGAAAGATGAATCTTCTTCCTCATCCGTTTGGCTTGCAAGGGTTAGCTTAACTGGCACAGTTTTGTATGGAGCCTCATGCTTTGTTTCACTTTCCATGATATCACACACTGGTAAGTACGATCCACTTTAAAGTTCTATTTTGCTGTTATTAATTTTTTGTCTTGCTTGGATTTCACTTGATGACCTCTGTTTGTTTGTTCTTTATCTCAACAGGCTTGAACACATCATTAAAAATGCTATGGATGTTATTTCACGGCCTTGCAGCTGTGAAGTTAATTCGGCATTTGCTTTGCACCTTCCCTTCTTGTGCTTCAATTGGTAACTGCAGTGTCTTTTCTATTCATGGACTTGTGTTAAGTAGTAGTTTTTATGGTGTCCTTTCAGCTAATAGATATTTTCGCTCTGCGTTAGCAATAATAAACTTCTTTTTTTTTTGGTCTCTATGGATCTCTGGATTTGATCAAAAAGTGTCTCTTTTGGCTCAATGTATCTCTGCTCAGTTATTTTAACAATTGCCACACTTATAGGGGAAGCGCTTCTTGTGACCAGTGGTCTTGTTCTCTATTTTGGCGACTTTCTAGCATGCACTATTGCAAAGGTTACAATCATTTTGTTTTCTTTCATTGGTTGCATGCTCACAAGTCAACATAATGATTTGTGATTTTTGTTTTTCTGTTGTTACTTTGGTTTGCTACAGATTTGCGAGAAATTAATACCTGTGGATCTTATCTCAATAAGCTATGGAATAAGGAGAACTGAAACCGGCATAATCGTCCAGGTATGATAATATTAACAATACATAGAAATTAAAGGCTTAACCTGTACTGTGTGGCTGAATAGCAACTTACTTTGCTCCTTCTCAGGGGCTACTGCTGGGCCTTCTACTTTTCCCAGTGGTGTTTAAATTCGCTCTGCATATATATGAAAGCTCGTTGACTAAGAGAGACGGTCGACCAAGAAACTGCACTGATACTGCAAAATCTGTCTTATTCTTTGTTTCACTTCTATCTTTTATGGTTGTGGCTGTTCCTTCTTGGATGCAGTTTGTACACGATTTTCACCAGCATCCCTTCTTATGGTACTTAAAATATCTGCTATCATTTACTTAACTGTTACTAAGATTGTATCCAGCTTTCATACTCCTCCATCGCAGGGTGCTTGCATTTGTCTTTTCTGAACCTCTGAAGAGACTTTCATTGTGTATCTACTGGGTTATGTTGATTGTTGTGTCTGTCTCACGGTTTTATAACATCTCAAGAGGTAGCAAGGTTGAGAGAATTTTGCTCCGCAAGTACTACCATCTGATGGCTGTTTTAATGTTTTTGCCAGCTCTTGTCTTACAGGTAACGTTTCTACTTTAACTATTCAGAAATACATTATGTGTTAGTCCTGCTCCTCTATTAGCTTCTTATTAATCTCCTTCTCCATTCATTTAGCCTAAGTTTCTCGATCTAGCATTTGGTGCAGCATTGGCGGTTTTCATTGCATTGGAGATCATTCGAGTAAGTCTCCTTGTCTGTCACATAACTTACCTTGTCGGTTTCATCGCTTTCAATGGGCTTATGTGCAAGATACTCAATTTGTAAAACCAGATCTGGAGAATTAAGCCGCTGGGAGAGCCTTTACATCACTTCATGAATGCTTTCACAGACCATCGTGATTCAGAGCTTCTGATTGTCAGGTGTGCTTAAAACTCTTTTGACCAGGGATGAAAAGAACTCCATTGAATTATCACCTCTTTTTTTAATCACTGGTTTATGTATGTGTCCTATTTGTAGCCACTTCTCACTCTTGCTTGGGTGTGCTCTACCAATATGGATGTCTTCTGGGTTTAATGACCGAGCTTTATCTCCATTTGCTGGAATACTCAGCCTCGGGATTGGAGATACTATGGTAAGTTCCTTGCTCAGAGATGCTAACTTCAAGAAACCTCATTCTCTTCCAATGTAATGTACTATATAATTGCTTTAAACAGGCATCGATGGTTGGTCACAAATATGGGGTGTTAAGATGGAGCAAGACAGGAAGTGAGCATCTTTTGCATTCTTTTTTCAACTAATATTTTGCGTAATTAATGTTTTTTTATTTTTTGGAACAGAGAAAACGGTAGAAGGAACAGCAGCCGGAATAACATCGATGATGGCAGTGTGCTATGTATTGGTTCCAGTGTTAGCATCAATGGGTTATATATTAAGCCAGGGATGGTGGTCGCTTCTTGTTGCGGTTACTGCCACCGGGATGTTGGAAGCTTACACGGCGCAGCTAGACAATGCCTTTATACCTCTTGTCTTCTACTCTCTCCTCTGCTTGTAGAGTACGTTAAGTCTTTTAGTATTTTTTTTTCTCTCTTAACTTCATGTACATAACAAAGTAAATGTTAGCTACTAACCACACGTGCCTCTATTCCCATAACGAACACCTAATGATACCTCAAACTGTTGAGAATAATAATAGTGTGTGATGTTTAAGTTTAATACGAATTCTTTTGGAGCTTCACAGAAGAAACATTATGTAACTTTTCATCGCGTTGTAATGCAAAGAAGTTTATATAATAAGCTCATTTAAATCTTTTGACTAATGATGTTTTTGGGAATTGTATTATAAATACTTTTTCTCTTTTGTGACTTTTTCAGTTTTGTTTTCATAAATATAAAAGTCATGGAAAGCATTGGCTACATTTCTTTGAACTTTGACCTGATGTGGAAGTTTCGATAGCCGCCAGTTTGGCTAACTTGACCAACTTTGAATTTTAAATTCTTCCTCAGTTTCATACATATATAAAGTGTTACAGTTTACATGATTCATTTCAGATTATTGAAAATGGCGACTTTGACGAGAATTTAGTTAGTTATTCATGTTCACGGAGCTTTGTATTTTAACCAAAAACCCCCCATGCTTTGGTCAATGGGAGTATTAACATCTTTACAGTTAATGATCTATCAGTTACCATTACAATACGGTGCCGATTCATTTCCTATGCACACAACTTGGAAATGAAAAAAATACACTGTCAGATAAACGTCATGTGGATTGTGAACCCATTAGAACAAAGTCACAAACTGATGATATACTAAAGGAAGAAGTGAAAATGTCTCTATTAAGGGGGGAAATAAATAGAAGAATAAAAGCTGAGGGGTCAAAATCCAAAAGAAAGAAATAAAATAAAAGAGTTTTCGCGGTGAAGAAGGACGGTTTGGTCGGTCGGTGGCTCATTGGTGTTGTGGGCCTTCCTTTTATTCCATCAGCCAGCCAAACCCACCTCCTCTCTTTTTGTTTTTCTTCTACTCTTGCCAATTTACAAATCCCTCCTTTCTTTATTTCTTTCTTAAAAATTTCCATTCATCTTTTCAAAAAATTTCCTAGCATATATATTACTAATATTAATCATAAAATATTATATACATATGTATAATGTAATTAAATAAAATCTATATACCAACTTTAATAAAAATTAATGAAATAGTTTTAGTGAGTTAAGAAATAATTAAATAAAATTCTTAAAAGGTATAAACACAGATCTTTTAAATTAAAATTATTAACCATAAAAGATTATATACATATGCACAATATCAATAATTTAAATTGATATCACTTTTATAAAAATTTAAATATATTTTAAATTAATTATTAATGAAATTCTTAATCTAC